CAACTGTGCGGAACAGCAACCCCCACAGTACTGCGCGCGCTCTGTGCCTGCCGGGATGTCAGCCTTTGTCAAAAGTTGTCTCACACAACCCTGCAAGGGCCTTAGCCCCATTTCACAGATGAGAAACTGAGATGAGAGGGGAATGCTCACTTGGCCAAGTTCCCTTGGCCTGTAAGCACTGCGGCTGGATTCTACAACATTCCTGCTCTTTCCTCCACCCGTAAATAAAACGTGGTCTCTGCCCCTACACTGCCCACAAGTCAGGTTAGGGAGGCAGCATCTGCAGAAAGATCCTGAAGAGAGGCAGCCCCAGGCTGAGGGTCAGCTGAGTAATCGGATCCCACAGAAATCTGAGTGCAGAGTTTCTGTTGGGGGAGAATTCAGGGGGAGGGGGTTGGGGCGAGGCCTTGAAGGTGGGCAGGGGTGGGGAGGGAGGGCATTCTGGGCAGAGGAATGGCCGAGGAGAGGGAGTGGAGGAGCCTGCAGTTGCGGGTGGGGTGGGGGCACAGTTATCTAGGCGAGCAGGAGGCAAGCAAGTGGAAGCCCCCACCTGCTGCCCACAGGCCCCCCAAGCTGCGTTCCGGGGCCCGGGGCCCTCCCCAGAGCAGGTCAGTGGGCCTTGTTTGACCAACACAGGGAGCAGCCAGGCAGCTCCCTGGCCTCCAGAAGCCTGCCTTACACAGGGCGGGGGTGGGTCTGGGGAGGAGGAGTGGGAGTGGGTGGGAGGTGGGGAGAGGGGCGTTTCCAGATGGAGGGACACAGTCCTGTCGGATTGAAGCAAAGCCTAGTTTAATCCCTGGTCCCAGGACGTGGTAGGGGTGAGGCGGGGATGGCAGAGGAGAAACTGGCTCAGGGAGGTGCCTCCCACCGCCCCCCTCTGGATGTGACTCCGGGCATCTGCAGTAACCCCCAGAGACGCCTCTTTCGGGTGGTCATTCAACCCCGGCCCCTGACACCAGGAGGGACAGTGAGGATGGAGGAGTGGCGGTCCCGCTGAGAGGCTGTGAGGGAGGAACGGACAAGCAGTGCCCTTCCCACCCTCTGCGTCTCCAGGGTCCGCGGCCTCAGCGCCCCAGACAATGCCGGGTGCTGAGGACCCCAGAGCCACCGCGGGGAGGCTGGGGATGGGGCCGGGCTGAGGCCTCCGTCAGCCGCAGGACACCCCCAGCCTGGGGTGGGCAGGGCTGGAGGCAACGAGGGAACTGAAAGACCTGACACCAAGGTCCAGCCTCTCCGCAGGGTAGGTGGCACCAGGGGTAAATCGATGACCTGGTGCTGGCGGCTGCTCGCCTCTCCTGTGGGCCCTGCAGGGGCGGGCGGGACTTGAGCCCCACACAGGGCTGGCACAGAGGGGCTCTCACTTGTTTGGCGGGTTGACTGCATTATGTCAGGGTCATCTGGAGGCAGAGGTTACCTGGAGGCAAGTAAGGATTTACCCGAGCTGGAAAGAGGAACCATCCCCCCCAGTGCTGTCAAGACCCAGACGCCTCTTCCCTGCTGGGGACTGTCAGCACTGCCTCTGACAAAGAAGAGAAGGAGAGTAACACTGCCAGCACTGCTGCCTCCTCTGCCCTGGTGCCACAGGTGAGGGTGGGGTCGCCTGGGGCCCCACAGTCCTCAGTTTGGTCTAGAGCAGGGTTTTCCTTTCTCCTTAGAGTGCAGCCACAGGGAGATGCACATTTTACATCCCAACACAGGGGACACACGTAAATACATTTATAAAACTAAAGCAAAAGTTTATGCAACAGTATTACCTTACAATGTGTGATGATCACATCTATTATGTTCCATTATTTTGTTCTGTTCTATTCTATTCTATTCTATTCTGGGAGACAGGGGAGGACAGGGGCTGTGGGAGGTGGGGGGGGTCACCACAATCTCCTCACAACAAGACCCTTAAGGGAGACAAACTGCATCCGCTCTGGGTGTGCCTTTTGCTGTACCTTTGTCATTTCTATATTTAATCCCTTCTTCTTAGATTCACTGGCCATGGGCTCTGTGGTATTAAGAGTCTCAGGTACTATGTCTTAGGAACTACAAAAGTGGCAGCACTGAGGGCCTGGGGTCTGGCAGGTCACAGGCACATGAGTGAATAGATGAGAGGCCCATTGCCTGGTGGTGGGAGCAGGGGCTTTGGAATCAGTCAGACCTGAGTGCAATTCTGACTTTGCCAGTCACTCACTAGCTGTGTGATCTTGGGTAAGCCACTTAACCTCTCTGAGCATCAGTTTCCTTGTCTCTAAAATGGGGATAATATCTATTTTTCAGTGTTGGTGTAAGGATTAGCAAAAATGTTTATAAAGTAAAATGTCTGGTACATCCTAGGAATTTAATAAATAACACCTGTAATGATTATGGTTAATAGTAATTACAATAATACTATAGAGAAGGTCCAGGACAGCTCGGGGGCTCCAAGTGTGCTACTATTACTCACGTTTGGGAGAGATTTGTCTGCCACTGTCTTCATCTTCATAAACATCTGGAGGAGAAAACAGATTATAAAGGTAATAAATGGCTTTAAAAGGAAACACAGAGCAAACGTACACACACACACTGGAAAAACCAAACCAAACACTTGACAAATATTCAATTTGATTACAGCAAAATTTTAAGTGATAATTGCATTCTAGGAAAATGAGCAGAATGACTCTGGTACCAGCCAGTGTTCAGCAGTGTGTTGAAGACATACCCTGAGCCTCTGGGGCACTCCCAGTCCACATGACAGAAGAAGCATAAGGAGTGGAGAAGGATGAGAAGGATGGGAAAGGTGGGCTATGAAAATTCATGCTGATAAGGACTGGGGCATATTCTCATTTCCCTCAGTGGATGATCTTTATAACACACATCACATCAATCCTAAATGGTTTAGGGAATTTAGTTTTAGCACTTAGTACCAGAATTCTAAGTTTCTATTTTGCTTAAAAGAACTGAATGAAATTTCTTAACAAGTGAACCCATTAGTGAGTTTAAATTAGCCTCATCAGAATACTATATGTTTTTGGTAAACCATAGACTTTTTTTTTTTTTTGGAGGAAGGTTGGCCCTGAGCTAACATCTATTGCCAATCTTCCTGTTTTTTTTTTTTTCTTTTTTTCTCTCCAAAGCCCCAGTAGGTAGTTGTATGTCATAGTTGTACGTCCTTCTAGTTACTCTATGTGCGACGCCACCGCAGCATGGCTTGATGAGCAGTGGGTAGGTCCGTGCCCAGGATCCGAACCGGTGAACCCCGGGCCGCCAAAGCAGAGCACACGAACTTAACTGCCACACCACCCAGCTGGCCCTAAACCACAGACTTTGAAGATAAAATCATGGCTTTTCCCTTGCTGTCCGCTAGGTGGCACAAAGGGACAATGGAGATCCCGCTAGTTCAGAGGCCACTCTTACCTCAGAGATTTCAAATGGGCAAAACTATTTTTATTTTTTTTCGAACTGGATTTTTCTCTATTCCTTACAATTATGCAAAACTTTTTAAGGACCATCTCTATCACATGATCTAAAGTCCATCACTTCCACTTGGGGTGTTGGCGTGGAGAGCTGCCTTAAAGTAACGCCTGAGCCCCTGGCTTTCCTTCCCTTCCCTGGAGGAACAAACCTGGGTGACTAGTTGCTAATGATATGTGCACAGTGATCTAGGCACTAGCCTAAGAGCTTCATCTCATTTAATTCTCACAGTAAGATTATACAGTATTACCTCCATTTTGTGAAACAAATGATGACGAGAACTTAAGCACAAAGAGGCTCATTCATCCACAGAAGTAGAGCTGGATTTGAGCTGGGATCTGTAAGCCCTCCGTGCTGAGCCCTTAACTGTTGTGCTTGCTGCTAACCAGGTTCCTTCTGTGCCTTCTCCAAGTTAACCCGTGGGGTCACTTTGTGCCTGATGCATCCCAGTAGCTCACCAGAGCTCACAACAGGAGAGATTCCCCAGGATGTTTCCATGGGTACTGGGCTGGATTAGGGTCTTTTGCCTGGTGGCCCAGAGTGTAAACTTGGACATCTAGGCTGGTCTATACCTGAAGTGTACATTTCCTTTGCAAACCTGTCTTTGGCCAAGAGGAAGCGAATCACTCCTAAGCATTCAATGAATTGCTCTCATATTCCACGTATTCTCACAACACATTTTTTTTTTAGTGCATTTTCTGTTGTCCAAGTCCCTGGCAGCTTCTAGGGCGGTCTGAGCTTGTTGTCTTAGACTTTCAGAGTTGCTAGGAGCTGGGGTCAAAGAAACTTCACACCTGGGAAACCACCTCCTAGCTCAGCAATCAGCTGCCCTCAGATGCTCTGGGTTGCAGCAGGCCCACAGGTGGGTGGTGGGAGGGAAGAACAAGCTGATGTGTCTAAAGGGGCTCAGTTAAAGCCTTGCCCATTTCCTCCGAGACTTCATGGGAATTTTTCACTGACTAAAATATAAAGCCCCCTAAA